CCACACACACACACACACACACACACACACACACACACACACACACACACACACACACACAAGATAGAAATGATACTCCAAGTTAATAACTCCTATTAAAATCTGTGAAATATGATATCCACTGTATTAAATAAATGATAATATCACTTAAAGATATAACATAAATCATCTAAGAATAAAAATCTTATCCGACCTTTAATTATTCCTTTATGTTTGTCAAATAAATAATGTTATTTTACATAAAATGATGTTTACAAATGCTCGAAAATGTGCATGAATGTTTAAACTTTAAAAAATAAGTGAAAATGAATGGAAATAAGTAAAAATTAAAGTAACAAAGAGAAAAAGAAACTTTTAAATTAATTGTTTTAACATTACGTTCGGCAATTTAATAGCGGTGTAAATTTTAGACTAGAGGACTATTTATCTTGGTCTTTTGACGTTTGCGTTACTAATTCACTATAAAGTATTATATAGTGATTTTATTTCTTTTCACATAATATTCAGTTCGCTTTCTTATTCGATTTTATCTTAGCAAAAAATAAAGAGAAATTGCAAATATGAAAAGACAGATGTATGGGTAAACATTCCCGCAGAGAAAATCAAATGCGACACTGTCTCATAAACACTGCAAGATACATCAAAAAACAAATGTAAATTTTATATCTCCTGTTTGTGATTCTGTTTGAGAGATTTTGTAGATAAATTTTACGCTGAAAATACGCGCACAAAATTTCGAATATAATTATAGAAATAATACGAATAACAGTTAAAATTTATTTACAAACATTTATATTTATAAAAATGAAATTAAAGCATTTGCATTTACTCCTCAATATACAATATCTAACAGATCACAATTTTAGCAAATAAATAATTCTAATGGATAAATGACATTGAGTGAATCTCATGATTCTCATTCTCTTTTTTTTTTTGATGAACATTTTTATCTTCCTCTGCTAATTTGTATTCCACTGTTTGTCAATTATATTGACTTCAATGGGCCTATCATATTCTCGCTAACAATTAATTATCTTGCTTTTGTCTAATCGATTTGCTAATAAGTATCGTGTTCAAATAATGGGTAATGATTCATTTCAGATGGATGCCATGTCAGTTGAAAATTGAAACGAATATCTGCAGCGGCGAATACGATGGCATTATTCTGGTGTCAGGAAGTACCCCTGGATCCGACGAGCCGGAACCCTTCAAAACCGTCCTCTATACCGCGGCCCAGATCGATGCTGCACTGGGCGTGATCGGCGCGGTTTTGCCCATCAATTTGCTCGCAAAAAGGCTCATTTACAGTCCAACGGGTCCGCTTAACATGGATTATCACGATGTGCGGAGTTTCGCAGAGGCAGCCACGAAGGGAATAAAACGGTAATTCTTTGTATGATCCCACACATTTTTCTTTCTTTTTATAGTTTTTTTTTTAACGTGAATGCCAAACTAACAAAACCGTTATGTTTATAGAAGTATATTTTATATGTATTATATCAATTTATTGTATATTTTATATGTATTATATCAATTTATTTTATCAGCTTTCAAATACGATTTTATAACACATTTAAATGAAAATATAATATATTGAATAAAGATATAAAGAAGCGATATGTGTTATGTTATAATATATCGGGTAATATATATTCAAGTCCGTATTTATTAGCTGAGTAAAAGCATACGATCAAACGTCTACCTAGCTGGTTTCCATCATTTAACCGAATCTTAATGAATAAATTATATAATAATGCGCTATTTATGCGCTCTCAAAATCCGCAAAAAATATTTTTGCGCTCATTTTAGCTAAAAAAAATTTTTTGTAGGAGAGCTGTAGTAGGCTCAGTCAGCCCCCCCCCCCCCCTCTCCATGTGTTAATAACAATCGATTTGGAAAATTAAATACACAGGATTTCTACACTATTTATGCGCTTTCATATTCACATACTTTCATTTTTTGCGTTACATCCCTTAAGACACTTCCCTTTTAGAGTAAACAGTTATATTCATCCCTAAATCATTTAAAATTGCAAAATTACTCTAACTATGCAAAATATATCTTTGATTTATGCACTACTATTTCCAAGCAAATCTGATTTTTACGCTGCAAGAGTTTTATTTTTGTCTATTTTACAAAGTATTACATTTTTTATTTTGCCTTTAGCTTTTAATCTCCTTGGTAATTACGAACTAATAATTATCCATTAATTCAATTTTCTTCATGTTATCAATTAATTAATAATTGTTGACATAGCTATATAAAACCTGGTTATCTCTCATTTTGGAAAGAGAGGGGAATGTTATAATAAGACAATAAAAGGAATGATATACATATAGTGATAATGGGAATGCTATCAAAGCAACGCCACGCGCCTACATTGTCTCTTTTTAATTTCAGTTCAACAAGATTTTTATATGTTCAGTCTTTGTCTATACATATACAAATCAATATTTATTGCAAAACACAAAATATTTTTTTCAATTTTTTGATTCTTTAACAATAATCACTAATAATTCAACAATATTTTTAATCTCTTTGGTATTTCTAATAAGCATTCTTCAACTATATAAGGGACACTTTACTAAATTCCACAATCGAAGCGCGCAAATTCCAATGTTTTTCATTGTCCGGATATAATTGGATTTAGCGAGGAAGTGACGTTATATCTGCGTTCTCGTGTCGACAATTTGCATATATTCGAAAAAAAGCGTTATTTTTTTCGAGGTTGTTACAATTAATCGAAATCGATGTGAGAGTAATTAATTAAGTGCTCTTGATTGTACAATTTCGAACATCTTCGTATAAACATCGAGTGTTCATTCACTAGCGACATGATAGTCTTGCAACGAAACGAGCCACGAACGATTGTCAGTGTTTTGTGTACTCCAATAGCTGCATACGGGAAACGCAATGATGTACGAACGAAATTCCGCGCGAACCATACGCCTGTCCGTCCCGAAATTCGATTGAAAAATGAAATTCCTGTCCGTTGGCACAACTGTTTTTTTTTTTTTTTTTTTTACACGGACAGTAGTGACGTTAACGAAAGATTGGCATGGATCAGCACGTCCTATGTTAGTAGAAAAAAGTAATGAACGTATCTTGCGTATCAATTTAGAATAAAGCGAAGTAATTTGGATAGGTTAACATTGCAGAAATTTTAATATATGTTTTGTAATATATGTTTTGTTTAATTATACTATTTTGTTTAATTATACTATACCATACGTCCTCGATCTTTTACACAATTTCAAAATTTCTATAACGTATCCGAATTACCTTTACCCTATACGCATTTTGTTTTAATGGTAAGTATTTTTTAAATTTGGTTGCAACTTGTCACCACATAACAAAAATATTATTTTAATAAATACTTAAAATATTATATAAATAATATAAATAATAAATAATATATAAATAAAACAGTAAATATTATATAATATAAATATAATATAAACAGTAATAATATAAACAATAAAGTAATAAATTAAAAATAAATCATAAAGGATAAAGCTCATAAACTCCTGGATGTCAACTTCTTCTGTATAATTATTTGAAAGTTTCCTTACACTTGTAATTATTTTTCTCCTCATGCAAACCATAGTATTCTCCAGAGAAAACTGGTCACAATCTTCAAATTTTATTCTTTTAGTCTGTATTTTAATTATTACCAATGTTTTCTGCGGGCAAAACTGTTATCACGCTCCGTTACATATCTAACCAATAATGTAGTACTTATGGTCCTTTTAAGATCTCAAAAATAATAGCAGTGCACGATTCTACGCGGCATTAATACCAAATTCAAATCAGAAGTACTTTGTTGAATTGAGAATAGAACGGGAGATTTGAGAACTATGATATAACGACAGTTTCTCGAAATTACCAAGAACGAGACATCGTACGCAACGCATCAGAAACATTTAACAAAGTTAAACAGTTTTGATAGCAATATACTTCAGAAATAGATTAATAGTTCGTGATTCGCAAAAGTGAGAGGCACCTTCGGTTATATAACTCACGTTTGTATTACACCCGACAAGATGAAAATTAGATACAAGGAAAGCGAGAATGGCCATTCGTGTTTCAGGATACTCAGTGAGAATCGTATTTGTCCCCAGAGAACTCATTTCTCTTCTTTTTTTTTTGCATGAATATCCTCTGGAATGTAATATTACTGCAGGTTTTATGGTGACAATATTACTGCGTGGATTATGATGTCCGCCGACAATCACTGAATATAAACGATATGTTCGCACCGCGTAATTACTATCAACTTCTTTTTGAGCCTATATATTGTACTATATATATAGAGGTGTGAATCCTTCTACCTCTAAATTTCATTTTTACGATATCTCTTGATTCTTTATTTAGATCCTTTTTTAGATTCTTATTTTTATGACTCTTATATGCCCTTTCTATTACATTATATATTGTTATCTGACATTAAGAGTCCTTGATTTTGATTAATTTAATTTAGATTCTCAGATTGATCGATTTATCAATCTGTCAATAGGATAACCGATTGAGTTTTGACCGATTGAGTTTTTTGTTGACATCATTTTTTTTTAAAGAAGTAATAGAGTTAACGCTAATTTGAGAAACGAGAAAAAAATTTTTATTTCACATACACAGGATTTATCAAATCTGGATAATTTGGATTAGAAAGACTAAAATAAAATGTTGTACAATCTTACTCCAAAATTAATTTCATTATATGATCAAATATTATTGTATAGGATAATATATAATTCATCAATGTAATTGAGTTTATGACTTTTCTGCATTTATTAGGGCTTTAAAAGCTGGGGTAAAATGTCCTTTGTTAGTACTACTGCCAGATGATCGTTTTGAGAACGTTGAGCTAGTCACGCTTCTTGGTGCTTTGGAAGGTCTCTATGTGGTGAGTTCTATTACAACAAATTATTCATTAATATATAGTTATATTATAATATTATAATTAATATCGAAATAATTTTATATCGATATATTAAATGGATCATATCATATCTTTTATCTGGGAAGTAGAATATTAAGTGATTTAAAATATTATTAATAAAACAAAATTTATAACTGCATACGATTTATATAGTAAGATAAATGAATAACCATTACTTTGATATTAGAACTTCATGCATGGAGACGTTTAAGAAAAGAGTCTCTGTTAGCTTATTTAATTCGAAAATAGCAATCAAAACAGATTTTCCACTCATAACGATTGCTAAATGTGGAAAAGTTAAATCGATCGGTACTAAACGTTACTGAGATAGTAGAATTTAAAAATAGAAATGGGAAAAATCGCTGGCTAAAATTGAGAGAATCGATAAGCGAATGTTACTCGATTGTGCCAATATATCCGGTTAAGGCATTTCGCAGATAGTTGGTACAGTTGTGGTTATACGAGAGCCGTTTAAACCAATCAAACAGATACAACATAGCTTTGTGCGCATCTATACATTGGCAGAATAGGAAACCTGTAGTTGTGTATCTGGAAGGAATTCATCTCCGTGTTTCAGCCGAGTTTGGTGTGCTGCGGTCTGATTGGCTACCCTCAAGTTACTCACCATATTCTAACTCTAGTAAATCCGTCTCTAAACCTCATCTCTAAACTAAATTGCTATTGTGATTTAAATCCATAACTAATGACTAAGTGAGCTGTGCAATGTAATTCAATTAATCTATAATATTTTACGAGAATTAATTCTGCTTCATTAATGTCCGATCGTCCTAATAAGATTCTATTCGATTATAATCGAATAATATTACTATAAACCACTGGATATTTATTATTTAATAATTATGAGAAGCTAGGATACGTGGATAATTTGCAAACATTTGCATTTCAATAATTAATGCAAGTATCATAATCCATGGTATGCATCCAATATAGACTGATTACAACTATTCGATGCTGATAAACGACCATATACTTGAGTTTTCTCAATTACAAATGTATGTGATAGAGACAAAGAACACATAACTTCAGCACAAGACATCAGCCATAAGGATAAGATCATAAACATTTCAATAAACAAGTTCGTTCAATATCTTGAATAAACGATAGACTGACAGATACCGATGGCAAAGAGTGCGGTCAACACTATCAAACAATACCTGCCACGGACAGACGGCGCGGGCTATGCTTGATCGATAAGTGTGCAGCGTGTCTTACGGAGGATATCGGGTTACACAACTCGATTGCAAGCTCCATTGTTCATTAACCTCAGCGCCGCCGCGGTTAATTACGGTCGGACGATAGTATCCGCGTTATTATGCGAACTTCCAAGTCGGAAGTTATCCGGCACGAGTATACGCGGTACAATCGATTTGTGAATTCTATAGTAGCTTTACCAGCGTGAGTCGCATGATCGACTACATACGTCACTCACGCACGCGTACATACATTCAACAATTAAAAATATTTATAATTGAATACAGTCTTCCCAAACGTCATGAATACCAAATTTCAAATATCTTGCTAGCATAGAAATAGTGACTGATAAAACTGAAAACTTTTTGTAACGATTTGTAACAAAATAATGTATTAACCTACAATGAATGAAAAAAAATGGTTGCCATAATTTATAGTCATATTTGGGACTATACAGAGTGTTCAACGCAACGATCCGCACGATTTTTCAGACACTTCCGACTATTAAAAAAAAGAGTGAAGGATGAAAGTATTCCTCTGTTTTTTATAGGTTACAACATTCGATAAAAAAAAATTTGAAAAAATTGTTTTCATAAGAAAATCAAAGTCATTTAAAATTTTTTAAATAGCACTTTTTAAATAGCTATAATTTTTTAAATTCTTCTATCGCATGTTGTAGCCTGTAAACAGATAAATAAACAGATAAATATTCATTTTTTTAACTTTTTTTTTAACTGTCGGAAATATTTGAGAAATCATGCGGATCGTTACGCTGAATATCCTGGGTATATAATATATTATAATTATATAT